TTTGTTCTTTCGACTCAACTGTTGTTTATTCTTTCTGGTTACAAGCAGAGGGATGATCGTGATATTATTGTACTCAATCTTGGTGAAACCTGCTGATTATAAAATAGTACTATTGTTCTTGTTAGCCAGTATTCAGTGTTACAACAAGCAAAACCACGAATAATCTAGCTAAGTCAAAGTGTGTATTTAATTATTCATCACTTATACGGCAGTATGTTTTGATTAGTGTTGACATCATATCATACACAAGTTCATAAAGCTGCTTAATTATTATACAGAACCACTCAAAGAAAATAGATGCATATCCAGGACACACATGTTCTGCGTCCAAATTAAGCAATCAGGAAACTGAGTTTTTTTATTATTGCTACTATTAGAATATGAATTGGGATCGTACCGGTGATAGGCAGGCCCCTGTGAGAAATAGTGTGCTGATGATGAGTTATTTAAAAATTATTGTTTAAATTGTTACCACTAGCGATAGTATCACAAATTGAATAATAAGAAATAGCTAACAAACAATATACTTTATTGACAATGTCCTGTATGGACATTGATTATCAATTAGTAACTCTGAACAGCACACTAACAAGTATTCTGCAAGTTAATTGTTCATGACAGGGTTCCCATATTATTCATCTATGACTAAGAATACAAGCCATTAAGGCTTCGAATGCAAATCTATTATACTATGAGCCATTCGTGATAAGGTTAAAGTATGCACATTATTGCTAATACTTTTTAGTTTATTAGTTTTTCACATTCATTGTAATTTCACCTTTGTATTTTTTGAATATAAATATTACTAAAATTATTAATATGAGACTTAATAAATATTTGTATCTAATACATCATTAATAATACTAGTATTAGTAATATTTAATTACTAATTTAATTAGTGTATTAGTATTATTAGTTCTGTTGTTACAAATTATATTGAAATATCAGTATCATAAGTACTAGTATTTAAATAAATTTAAATATAATAATAATTTATGTAACATTAGTATTAGGATTTTATTAGTATTAGTATTAAACAAATTAGTATTAGCATAAATATTAGTATTAGTAGTTATTATTAGTAGTATTATTATATTAGTATTAGTATTATTAGTATTATATTAGTATTCGTATTATTAATATTAATATTAATATTAATTATAATTAAATGAATATTAATTAGTTATTATTAGTATTATTAGTATTAATTAATATTAATAATATTAGAATTTAATAATAAAGGTTCGAAGGAGGGGAGGTGTTCGGCGAGGGTTCGGCGAACGCCGGCGGGGTTCGACGAACTTCGGGCGAAGGGTCGGGTCTTGCCTTTCCAAAGTGTTGCCCCCTTCTGTGTTGCCCTGAACTTAGCAACGGTATACCCTTGTAGCCCCCACTTACCTAAAACATAAGATTTCCCAAACCCGATTCGGATGTCTTAGGACGCTGCAACTATTTTCGAAGGAGGGGAGGTGTTCGGCGAGGGTTCGGCGAACGCCGGCGGGGTTCGACGAACTTCGGGCGAAGGGTCGGGTCTTGCCTTTCCAAAGTGTTGCCCCCTTCTGTGTTGCCCTGAACTTAGCAACGGTATACCCTTGTAGCCCCCACTTACCTAAAACATAAGATTTCCCAAACCCGATTCGGATGTCTTAGGACGCTGCAACTATTTTCGAATCTCTGCAACCGTTTCAGAATTCCTCCATGCATTAGTCCGAATATGTTCCCACTGTAGGATTCAACTACAAGGCTGCACGGGTTCGCTACGTGTGTTCTATGATTGGATGATTTGTTCTGGGCTATGTTGTAGTCGAGTATCTACGGACGAGAAAGCGCTTTTGCTACCAAAGACTCAGATGCTAATGGTAGTCGAAGGCTTGACTCACAAGGGTGCTGAGGATGATGATTTGCTGCAGCTGATTGAAGCCCCTAAACCTAAACTTATGATGGAAAGATGATTACTAACTACACCCTGAATCCTCAAGATAACATGATGGTGATCACCAGCTCTACAAACCTCATGATACACCTTGAGGATGATGCCAACAAAAGCGTTTGACGTTCAAAGTTCAAAGCTCTCTTGGCTCCCCGCTCGACCGTCAAGCCAGCCTCCTATACAAACAAGCAGCGGAGGCTTTGTTCCGAAGTACTATTACTACGTGTTAGTCTTACTAGTGTTACTATTATTACCACCATTACTATTAACTATGAAGTACAGCAAGAGAGTACAGTGCAATTCTATACGATAAGCATGGAAGCGGCTCTGTTTCTATGAAGTTGTCAGCTTAGAAGACGCTACATATTGTGAGCTTGTATACAAAACAAGCTCCATGGAGGGACTCCAGCCGACACAACCCTGGTCAGCAAACGCCGATACATCTTTGAATTTCGGATGAAGCTTGCAACACATCCGACATATCCGAACTCACTTCCAGGAGGAACCCGACCCCAAGGGCTCATATACAAACACCCTCACTAGCAGACTCGATTGCAAGAGTCCTCCCCGCATCCTGCAGGGTTTACATTCCTCTGTGCTGTCATGTCGCGCCTCTGATCACCGAATTCTGCTCCGTCAACCCCCACCCTAACTCCTAAAGCCACACAGCCACAAGAAGCGACGGCTCCAGTCCCAGAACGCTACTCAAAAGGGGGTGACAGCCTGACTGAACCCTGCATTCCGTAGCTAGAGCCTCATTCCTCCTGTTGGTACTTGAAGGATCACGGGACTTAGTAACTTGGGTTATAATTGGGGTAACTATACTTAAAACCCGAGTCAAGGTACTTATAAACCGACTTACTAAGTCCCATGACCCTCCAAGTAAACTTTCGATAACCCCAGAACTTCTTCTAGATCTTACAAGCCCACCGATATTGAGCTCCAAACCCTAAACCTACAAGGACGAACCCTGAACCCGAAACCTTGTTCCCCTAAACCCTAAACGGTTTAGGGTTTAGGGTTTCTTTTAAGGTAACTATACTTATAACCCCAATTATGGTACTTATGACCTTGCTTACTAAGTCCCATGGTCCTCCAAGGAAGGGAAACCGAGGAGCAAGAAGCCCTGGGCAGCGCCTTGGTCGCCTTGAAGAGTCGCTCTGCCAGCGGCCGGATGTTCTCTGTCTCATTGTACGTGGGCACCTAGTATACGCAAAGGATCATGGGACTTAGTAAGGTTCCTTAAAGGGCTCCTTAAAGGGATCTATAGGGTTCCTTAAAGGGATCTACAGGGTTCAGGGATTAGGGTCTACTTGGAGGATCATGGGACTCAGGAAGTACTGTAAGGTTATAAGTACCTTAATTGGGGTTATAAGTATAGTTACTCTTTAATTATAACCCCAATTACTGAGTCCCGTGATGCTTTAAGTAGGGGCCTCAATGATGAGAATAGGGTGACCAAAGCCAGAAGAAGACATTTCAAGGACCAGTTTTGGTAACCATTCAAGCTTCTATACTAACCTTGGCAGCTCTGGGAGTTGTGGGAGTTTTGGGGCTGTTTAGGGTTTAGGGTTTAGGGGTTTAGGGTTTAGGGTTTAGGGTTTAGGGTTTAGGGTTTAGGGGTTTAGGGTTTAGGGGTTTAGGGTTTAGGGTTTAGGGTGTAGACTTAGTTCAAGCTGACCTTCACCCGCAGCAAGCCCTATCCTACATACCCTGGAACCAAACCCCGAAACCCGAAATGAACCCTGAATCCTAAACCCGAAACCCACAGCCTTAAACCCGCACCCTAACGCGGTTTATGTATCGAAGTTTCGAGCGGAGCAACACGGAATTCGACATAAGAAGATGGAGTTGCAAGCTGATATTTACAGTATAATACAATACTTCAGCCGATTGCCTGTCTCGTCGGCATGTCAGGCAAGGCTAGGTATGCACAATCAGGACATACCTTAGAAGCTGCCCGCACCCTGTAATAGTGACTATAAGGATTATATTAGGGCCCTATTATATTCCTATTTTACCACTATTACAGGGTGGGGGCCCCTTCTAAGACATACCTAGATGATCAAGCCGCAAACTTCTCTCAATCTTCGCCTCTTAGTGGCAAAGCTCCCATCTCCGAACCCTGAACCATGCAAGTAACTGCTGGTTAGGGTTTAGGGTCTTGTGATTTCTTTTAGGGTCTAGGTTTAGGGTTTAGGGATTCCCATCCCCACATGAAAAAATAACCCCTGACCGAATCAGCTTGCAGCTCACTAGCGCTGGGCATTGCATCTGAAGGGCAATGACAGAAAGCTCTTTCTGCCCGTCCGCGCTTTTCGCGCCATCTGCAGCAGAAGGGGCGGATCTAATGTAGGGGCCAAAAAAAAACTAGAATAGGATTTTGGGGGTTCCTTATCACGGTTAATCATTGTATAATATACGCCGAAACCCTGTTCTAATTATTACGGCCCCTGTATATCATACAACCCTACTATAGATTCCCTTTAGACCCCTTTCAAAGCACCCCTTTAAAGGAACACATTTTCGAGCATTTCATGCAGGAAAACTGAACTTCTTAGACCAGTCTGTGGCCTCTTTTGGGACAGCAAAAACCTCAGCAAGCTTGAGCTATGGCACCAAAATACTATCTCCAAGCCGAGTCCCATATTCCCTGCGGAATGAGTTTCAAGCTAACGTCGAAGACCTAGCCATATGAGCATCTCCATAGCATCTGCACCGTCTCGTTCACAAGGAGGGCTTGTGACATTCTCAAGCGCTTATGGGACGGGAGTATAGATAATAGCTTATGATGTACCTTCTCCTATTATAATAAACGATAATCTACTAATCTACCATAATATACTATTAATATATTACAATATACTTGGACTTTAGTAATCTACCATCAGATGCAATCATAATATACTTGGATTTGAGTGTGTGGCCTCCCGTACCGCCACGGCGACGCTCGGCCATCGCTCCTCTGGAGCTTTCGGAGTCCGGAAGGGATGAGGAGACTGGTCTCGCAGCTTCCACAATGCCCTACAGGAAACCACAGAAAGTTGGAATATGGTTTCATGGTAGGATACCCTATAATTTACCATAGAAGGGTTAGGGTAATCATATTCCAACTTTCTGGCTTTTGCCCTAGGGCTCCAGTTACCCAAAAAGTAGGGTTTAGGGTTTAGGGCAATTTTCTATAATGCACTAATGAGGTAAGGGTTTAGGGTTTAGGGCAGTTTTCTATAATGCACTAATGAGGTACTGTAAGGGTTTAGGGTTTAGGGCACCTTCCACAATGCACTCATGTAGGAATCTGATTAAGAAACCTTGTGCCTTTATTAGGGGTCCCTTATATGAACCGGATTATTTTGGAATTATAGGCTCAAGGCTTCTTAATCAGGTTCCTAAACTAAGGCTCTAGTTACCTAAAATAATAATAGGTTAGGGTTTAGGGTGTAGGCGCCTCGACCCTAAACTCTGACGTTAACCCTACTACCATTCCAGTACGCCCTCGACTCAGATGTGCCGACACGCTGCACACAAACATCCAAGAGACTCCAGTATCCCTTAATTAAGGAATATACCTTAAACCATTTGAAAATACCTTAGATCATATTAGGGGTCCTACTACAAGTTAAGTTATATTCTTTAGTTAGGGATCCTACTATAAGTTAAGGTATATTCCTTAATTAGGGATCCTACTATATAAGTTACACTCAGGCATAATCTTTAATTTAAGGGATGTTGGAGTCTCTGGGATCCCAAAGCCCTCGGGTCCTCGAAGGAGGCCCGGCTCGCAGTGCCGAACTATGGCTACCGAGCCAGAAGCGCGAGAGATGATCGTATGGGTGGTGGTCAAAATTAAGGTCCCCTTTTTGGGTACCCTAAAGATTAGGTGCCCACTATATTGGGAACCCAAGAAGGGACCGTAATGTTGACAACCACCCATATATCATACTATCTTTTTATCCTATTTTTGGGGGGCTTGTTTTAAGTATCATTGTTCTATCATAGTTACTGTGATTATTACAAGAAGCTCCCAAAATGGGATTGGCAATAACTATTTACGATGGAGCAGGGCTTCTTGGGTGGACATCGTGGGCGCGTGGACAGGGCTGTGGCAGGAAGCGTAAGAGGCCTTTTAAACCAAGACGCGTAGAGGAACAAACGCATGAGGTTTAGGGGAGTCGCAGTAACCCGTTCCTACTGCAAAGATTCGGATGCCCAGGTGTGCTTTGATGGCTGCATGTACTATGACCGTATGACCCGGGCTGAGGAGGCCTCGATAGTTATTGCAAGCCCGTCGCTCATAGTCGACACTCTGGCTGTTGTGCGTGGTGCCTGTCGAGCCAACACCCTTATCACCTCTAAAAGGATAGACGCTCAACAACCTCTCTGTAAATCTTGGCAGCGGCACGAAGGCTAGAGACTGCTACAGCCACCCCCGAAGCTTGAACTCATGGCGCCAATGCCCACATTTCAAGCTCTAATAGCCTTGAATCTCTGCAACTGTGCTTCTTCAATATTCTCTACATATATGTTCACATATATGTGTGTATATATGTATATGCACACATACATACATAGGTACATACATACATACGTTACATACATACCTACAGACATACATACATACATACGTACATACATACAGGCACACATACATGCATTCATACATACATGCGCACGTACATACATGCATGCCACGGTTGAAATCCCAGCCTGCAGCGGTAATCCAGCTCACTAACAAAACAGGAAATACTCTATTCCAACCCCCGCCACTCGCACCCACACTGACCCCCAACATAGCCGAAAGCCCGTGCGAGCACTATTGATAGGAGCTTCAACTTGCTTGAACCTCAGTAGGTATCACATCTGCCTGCTTGGAGTCGTGAAGCACCCCCTGATCTGACACTCGTGTCGAAGATGCGGCTAGAAGCTGCAGAATCCTAGCCCGAAGCTTTCGAAGCCTCCTACGCATTGAGTTGCCAAAAGTCCTCAAAGCTCCTAAACCCTAAACTTTTAACTCCTAAACCTGAACCCGCAAGGCCCCTCAAGGCCTCAAGGCCCTTCAAACCCTGAGCTCGAAACCGCAGCTGCCATCCAGATTCAGACGACGCCATGGCTATCAGGGAACCTGAAACCCAGAAATCCTCGAATCTACGGACCATCCTAAAGCCAATAAACCTACAGGATCGCACACATCGCGCAAGAGTTGAAGACGCCACGATCTGTTCCAACGAGCCAAAGGCCCTACCCCGCTGCAGAGCACAAGCTATAACTGTTCTGTATCCAACGGACAGCGGGGAAGTGGACAAATGTAAGAACCTACTGTATCGACGACTTCTCTTGAATGCTGGGATGCTTTGAGCCGCGTGCGGCGGAGATCATGGAGCTAATGCGCAAACAAGGCTCGGGTCGGAGACGCGGCAGGGCTGGGCTTGTGGGGGTGTAACGAAAGCTAGTAGGTCACATATCACGTCCGAAACCCTAACCAGTACCCCCCAAAGCCCTACACCCCAAACACTAAAACCCGAAGACCTAAACTCTAAACAGTAAGCCTACAGCTTCCAGGCCTCAATTGGACAAGACATCATGTAGCCTGTGCCTGGGAACCTCATGCAAGTCTAATTGAAATGGTGCTGCGAATCAGTAGGCAAGAAGGGATGTGCGCATGTGTGCGCATCCATATTACTATATACACATGTACACATATACCTGTGTGCATACATGTCTATGTATATATATATATATATATATATATATACATATGTACAGATATACATAAATACATATATGCATGTGTACATGTGTACATGTGTACATGTAACCATGCCTACATACGTATGTGTAAGTATGTATGCATGTATGTATGCGTGTATATATATATATATATATATATATATATATATATATATGTCTGTGCATGTATGTCTGTATGTATGTATGTATGTATGTAATTATGAATGTACGTAGGTATGTAGGTACGTAGGTGCTTGGGTGCTTCGGTACGTTGGTAGGTATTTACCTATGTATGCATATAAAAAACACTTATTTATATGTGTATACATATGGATATTGAAATTATAGCTCGGAAGTCAATGCTTTGAATGATCTCGTGGGCCTGGGCATGCAATGGCGAATTGGAGGTCTGCTTGTGAAACTGTCCAGGAACCTCGGGGTATCTTCGCAATATGGCCCTGGCTCTGCAGTGACCAGCTCTACAGAAGATGCCAAGCATGGACGTCTTGAGTATCATCGTCATAGCCGTCATGATCAGAAAGGATGTTTGTATGCGTACGTGCACTGATCGCTAGCAGATGTTTACTATGTGCCATGGCGGAGCCTTTCCGGTCGAAGCTGTGATGCCCTGTTGGCCTGGAGATGCCAATCGAACTACTTCATGTATCAGCCCTCCTTCTCCTTCACGGACTCCTTCGACACAGCCTGCTGCTCTTCTTCGGCCTGGCGTTTAGAGGTACTCGACCATCTCAATGTAAAGAACTATGGCCCGAACAGAATCACCCACTTAATGCTAACAGTCCTGGGACTGTGCAAGCAAGCTAAAGGTTGCGGGCGGCTGAGACCTGTCAGCTGAACGGTGTATGATTATCCAAGGGTAAAAGGAGGGACCCTTAATAAGGACGCCTAGGTATATACCCTTAATATAGCTATTATATACCCACTATATAGCCCATTATGGGGCAGGGGTCCCATTAAGGGTCCCTCCTTTTCCCCTTTGAGCTTACTTAGACGGACAGCAGAGTCCTGACCAGTGCAGTCCGGCAGTCCAATCCTTGACCCTCACCCGCACCGCCACACTTTGAACTAGCCGCAGATGAGTTGGGAGTTTCCGAAAATAGGGGACCCTAGTATAGTACCCAAAAAAAATTAGGATCCTTATTATTGTTCCACCAACTAAGGTACCCCTAATTTTCGGAAACCCCCATTTATATGCGAACTGAGTGCATGTCCTAGGACCTCGCACCTTCTCCTTGGATGCTGCTGATGCCAGGTATCCTGCAGTCAGGCTAGGGTTCAGGGCTTAGGGTTTAGTGTTTATGGTTTTGGGGTCCTGGGGTTTGGACGCTGCGACGCTCTGCGCGGGGCTTTGGGACTTCGATTTTGAAGCCTTTGGGCGACTGCAGGCTGTCAGCAGTTTTGCGTGCAGTTGCCAGGTAACCAGCCTTCAGGGCCCAGGGTATACTTAAAGGTTCATGGGACTTAGTAACCGGGGTTATAATTAGGATAACTGTACTTATAACTACTCAAAACCCCAACTAAGGAACTTATAACCATACTTACTAAGTCCCATGATCCTCCCAAGTAGACTCTAATCCCTAAACCCTATAGATCCCTTTCTAAGGAACCCTATAGATCCCTAAGTCCCATGATCCTCCAAGTAGGGTTTAGGGTGCAAGGGTGTAGGGTTTAGACCCGACTCCTCCGACTCCAAAGTGCGAAAACACGAAGAGCCCATGGACCGATAGAAAAAAAAGCTACTATATTTGGGAGACTGTAGGTTAGTATCCTTAGGCTCTTTGTGGATATTCTTGAAGAGACTACTATACTGAACTTAGAACCCTAGCAAAAACGATAATTTTTGCTGTTTCTTAGGGATTGTAATAACCAAAATTAAAAATCGTTTCTAAGTACCCCTAAGGCTAGAACCTGCGGTGTAAGGTAGTACTTGGAGGATCATGGGACTTAGGGATCTATAGGGTTCCATGTAAAGGGATCTATAGGGTTTAGGGATTAGGGTCTACTTGGGAGGATCATGGGACTTAGTTTGGTTATAGGTACCTTAATTGGGGTTAGAAGTATAGGTACCCTAATTACAACCCTAGTTACTACGTCCCAGGATCCTTGAAGTAATGCCTGCATGAGAAAGGCTTGGGGATGTAGTTGGAGTATGTCACAAAACATCCCAAGACCAAGACTGCCTGAGATCCCAAACCGTCCAAACTTCAACC